AATCCACCCGGCAGTCCCGGTGGCCTCTCCGGTGGCTGCTCTGCCAGCCTGCCCAGGAGCAGGGCTTGCAGGAGGGCAGCGTTCTCCGCCAGGCCAGACCGTGCCCTTCCTTTTTCCCACTGCGAGGTGATGGCTTCTGGGTGGCTGCCCTGCTCTTGAACCTCTTGCTCACAGCCGAGGCGTTCAGCCACAGCGCGCTCAAGGCATTCATAACTGATGGGGGGCGAGGAGGGCGGGGGGGGGCATCGCTCGATTCTCTGGCCTGGAGCTGCTTCGGAGAGCAGAAACTTCGGGCTTCGCAGCCTCACAGCCCCGAACCTCGTAACTGAGGTTGGAGGCGCCTCCGGAGGTCTCTGCTCCAAGCCCTGCTCGGCTGGAGCGGGTTGCCAGGATCGTCCGGTTGGGTTTTGAACTCTCTCCGAGGATGGAGACTGTACAGCTTCCTGGGAAACCTGCCACCCCCACGGTAAAAACGTCAGCACACCTGGGTGTTCTTTGGGGCAAGTCAAGCCCGTCTTGGCCAATCGGTGGGGTTGAAAGAGCACCTCCTTCCCAGCAAGCGGGAGCGGGAAGCCCGAGCCGGAAGGGAGCGTGCAAGCAGAAACGGGCCTGGACCGTCGGTCCCCTTCCCTCGCTGCAAGCAGTCGCGTTGCAGGGTTGTCCTCGTGTCCAGGTTGGGGTTTGCCACGCCTGCCCTTCCGTGGGTTCTCTCAAACCCCGGAGCCGTTCGTTTTCTCCAGCCCGGGAGAGCAGAGCGAGGTCAGCCGGGCTGCGGCGCCTGCGCCCTCCTGCTGGGCAGGAGCTGGTCGTGCTCGGGGGTGACTCTGGAGGAAAGGGGAGCAGGTCAGCTAACTAGTCCCAAAAACCCAGATCTTTGTGCCCTCCCACCCCCGGGCACCACACTGAAGTGGTTCCCAGCTCATTTGGGTCTTTGCGTACCTGACCATTTGTTGTCCCTGGCTGGTTTGTTAGGAGGCCCATAACGTTTGCATTGCGTGTTTGGCTCCCCAGTTCAAGAAAGATGAGGAACTCCTAGAAAGAGTCCAGAGGAGGGCAACAAGGATGATAAAGGGACTGGAACATCTCCCCTAGGAGGAAAGGCTGAGGGAGCTGGGCTTGTTCAGCCTGGAGAAGAGAAGGCTGAGAGGGGATCTCATCAACACCTACAAATATCTCAAGGGTGGGGGGCACCAGGACGGAGCCAGACTCTTCCCAGTGGTGCCCAGCGCCAGGACAAAGGGCCATGGGCACAAACTGAAGCAGAAGAGGTTCCAGTTGAACGGGAGGAAGAACTTGTTGACTGTGAGGGTGCCCGAGCCCTGGCCCAGGCTGCCCAGGGGGGCTGTGGAGTCTCCTTCTCTGGAGATATTCAAAGCCCGCCTGGATGAAGTCCTGCTCTAGGAGACCCTGCTTGAGCAGGGGGGTGGCACGGGGTGATCTCTCGAGGTCCCTGCCAACCTTTGCCATTCTGTGATTCTGTGATTTCATGGCTTGGTCGCTTGAATTTGGATGGGGCTGTGAGCAACCTGATCTAGTTAGCAGTGTCCCTGCTCACTGCAGGGTGGTTGGACTAGATGGACCTCTAGGGGTCCCTTCCAACCCAAAACATTCTATGATTCTGTGATTCTATGAATTACCCACCCTGGCGATGTCTGAGGAACAGACGAGCAATAGGAGCACTGTGGTGCTGGGCCCGGGTCACTGCCCCTTCGCTGCGGCGCAGGGGTGTCACTGGGTGTCCCCGGAGGGTCCGTGAGCGTGGCAGCGGGATCTCTGCTCCGCAGCGGCTGGTGCCATGCATCCCGAGCAGCCCTGCCGG